AATAGAGGGGAGGGAGATGGAGGGAGATGGGGCTTCCTTCCTTTTTCTTTTTCCAATCCCTCCGGTTTTGGAGGGATTAAGACAATCATTTGTTTTTTTGTTTTTAATTTTTTTTAAAATTAAAAATAAATAAATATAAATATTTTATTTTAATTATTTATTTAATTAATAAATTTTTAAAAGTTTATTTTTTTTTAAATTACTCAATTAAATGAAAATATTATCTTTTTCTCTTCTTCAATTGTATCTAACCAAACAAAATTAACGGAACTCATTTCTTTCCTTTCACTTCTGTTCCCCTTCCTTTCTTTTACTAATTTTTAAGCAAATAGACGCCAAATGTTACTGAAAGGAGAGCAACATATCGCCGATCCACTCAAACCGACTGATACATGTCATGACGCCTTGCTTCCCAAATCATGGTTGGCTCTGTATTATTTTATGCACAATAACTTTTCTATCCTTTATGGTATCTGGGGTGGCTGTAAATCTGACGCATGGCATATTTTAGATACCATATGGTTTATTGTGAAATATTCATTTCGCATTTGAATTTGAGCAAAAAAGGGGGAAAGAAATGGTGAAAATCCCCCCTTTTACTTGAACTTTATCCTTCGACTAACAAATGTCTCTCTATGTTTGCTTTGTCATCTGTGTTTGAATCTAAATCTTATCCTTCCATTAATGCTGTTGATCTTCATGGGTAGAAAATTCCTGCTACTAATTAACTTCTACCGCATAAACCAATCCTATAATCTTCTGCTTTTAGCCTTCCATGATGCACCTGCCTTTGGAAATTGATGAGCTAAATTTATATACATATTAACAGGGAATTTTTACTTTGATATTGTTGATATTTGGATGAGTTTTATGAGATTTTGTTTGATTTCACATGGTTTTTATTCTTTGTGTAGGAAAGGATGTAATTGAAAGAAATCTTACTTTTTAAAAGTAAATTGAAGAGATCAGAGACTTGAGGATCAACTTGTGCAGAATCCAGAAGTCAAGAACCAAATCTGTTATTTTACCATTGAAGAAATTGCAAAAGGAGATCAGAAACCCGACACGGGTGTAGTGTCGACACATGATCGGGGTATCGACACCATGCGTAAACGTCCAGAATCCGATTCTGTTTCTTATTTTGTGTCAACATGTAATCCGAAGTGTTAGCACCACGTGATCAGCATCCAAAATTTAATTTTTTATTTCTGTTTCAAGTCTTACTTCTATTTCAATTAGGAGTTTTGAGAGGCTAGTGGCAGCCCTCTTTTAGGCATTATTGGAGATCAAGATTGAGGTTCTATCAACAATAGAAGATCAAGGAGTTCAATTTCTTCAAATTGGGTTTTGTTTTTTCTTGAGTTTTTATCTATTGTTTGATATTTGAATATTCATAACTTTGATTTTATATTTTATTCTTTTTATTATGTAACCTAATCAATTCAATATGGATTTAGTGATTTTATGCTTTCAATTAAAGTTATTTGCATGAGTAGTTTATATTATTGAACTTAATGTATTGGAAGTCCGATCACTTTTCAATTGATTTAGTGATTTTTGCATGAACTTGAGAAAGAATTGTGTAGATTAGACCAATAATAATATAAACCGTATGCTAGACTATGAGACCAAGAGATAATTAGCTCACATGTGGTAGTGGAGGAAGAGAAGAGAGTTAGGAGCTTCTCCTTCTTAAGTTAGAGATTTCCATAAAATTTAATACTCATAAATTTGTTTAAAATTACATAAAAATATGATTAATTTAACAAACAAGTGAAGGGCTTGACTTGAGAAAGCTAGTTAATTGATTTAGGGAAATCCGCCATCACATGCAATAACACTCAACAATTTGGTAAGCCAGAATTTATATTGATTGATTATGGTAAAGTCAATGCTTTAGTATCTCCTATCTTGGTTAAGTTTAATTTAATTGTTATTTTTCTTTTATTATTTTTTTAGTTAAACTTTCTTCCCATTCGGTTGTTTAAATAAATTTGGATTAATTATTTTGGTACTTAGTTAGACACAATCTTCGTAGGTTCGACACTCTTCTTATCATTATATTACTTGGAGCTTATCATTATATTACTTGGAGCGATTAGTACACTTATTAGGGTGATTTTAGTGCATCAGAAATCATAAAATTTATGATTATTATTAATTATGAAAAAATATTTTATAGATCAGATTCTATTAAAATTTTCAATGATCACTATTTTGCAATTTGAAGCAAAACATGGGACGTTATTAATATTAATATTAGTATTATTTTTTAACTGAAACTAAAACCATAAGGTTTATTATTGCACACATCAAAATGCATGCCTCACTCATGGTGGATACAATAGATGGAAAAAACTCCAATAATGCAACCTGGAAACCACCTTAGAACTTTTAAAATAGAAGTCGCAAACTCAACCATATAAATGGTTCAATGATAATCTCTTTCCAATGAAAGTAAGAGCTCAAAAGTTCAAGTTACATGGTATACATGTGGGGTAAGTTAAGTATACATGTGGGGTAAGTTAAGGGATGGAAAATGGTTGGTTTCCATTGAGTAACCTAAAATGAAAAACAGAAAAAAATAAAAGTGGCAAACTCTGTTATGAACAAAATTTGGGGGATTAGAGCATATACAATGAGGAACAATCAAAAAGTTCATTTTGTTATTACATCATCACAATTAATATTATTTTACATAAACTTGCATTTTTGTATATTTAACCCTCAAATAGAACAC